CTAAATTTCATAAATTTGTCACATTGTCACTAACGTCAAGGATATTGTAATCCAAATGACGCGTAACCCAGTCATATCAAACTTACTATTAAGCTAAATTATAAGATTTTGAAATCCTAAAACGAACATTAATTAGGTATCACAATTAGGCATAACTAAATTTCACAAAATTGTCACATTGTCACTAACTTCCTGGAGATTGTAATACAAATGACACGTAACCCAGTCATATCAAACTTATTATTAAGCTAAATTATAAGATTTTGAAATCCTAAAACGAACATCAATTAGGTATCACAATTAGGTATAACTGAATTTCAATAAAAGTGTCACATTTTTAACAAGTTTATTTAGTTTTAACGTTCCTTTTTAAAATCTTCATTCAATTCACTTGTTAAGGTAGGTAGCAATCATATTAGTGAAATCTGTTAAATTTGTGCTAAGATTATGTAATTCTGACATTCATATTAAACTCTTTATTTAACTCCTTTACTAAAGTGTAACGCCATAATATATTCATGCAAGCAAAACGTGGATTTGAAATTTAATATACGTACAGAATTGATTTTATTTGTGATAGTATTATCTTGCCAGAAAGTTATTTTTTTCTTTTCATCTGATAAGTTTGATACAAAGGCTAAAAAAACATATTTAATATGTACTGGTTTGTTTTCACTATGAAAAATGTGTTAAACTCAGTGTTTGAATTCGGAAAGAATATCTTGATTGCCTTATTTCGAGTTAAGTAGCGACGAATGATTTGAGAAGACGGTTCTTTCTTATCAGTAAACTGATACAAATAACTTCATTGGCGAAAAACAATTACGAAAGATATTTTTGTCATTGACTTACTTTTGTGAAATCATTTTTCTGGAGATTACTATTCAAATTTAGATTGCAGGAAAATGAAGGGAAAAAAATGTCGTAAGTATAAGAAATCATCATTGAGGAACAAACTATCCACCAAAAGAAAATTGGGATAAAATGGTGGTTAATTAGTGAGAAAAAAAAGAAATAAGTCCACTTAATAATTTCTTGTTTTAAATACAAATTAAATTTTGAACGTATTATGAACTTTGAATTTATGTTTTTCCTTTTAAAATAGTTTGTGGTCTTTACTAATTTATTTTGAGTTTATACTTCGTGTTATGGAAAACCATATATAGTGCGGCTTTCAGGAGAACTCCTCCAGACACCCGTTTCACGTCGTGGTGGGTACTATGGTCACGAGGAAAGATCACTTCGAATAGGGGTGTGGGTTGAATAGTTTTGTCTTAATTTTAGTGTAGGTCATCATGAGTAAACCAATCGACCTTCTTTCCTTCATTTCACCACCATTAGAAATGCACTCTCGCTTGTTACCATAGCAGCAGACAGCCCCAGACTTTCAGTCAGGAGTTCTCTTCAAAGCCGCACTATACTAATTTAGTAAAAAATGCCGTTCTGCACAAGTAAATTGTCGACCAAGAGGGAATTTTGAGGTTAACGATATGATGCTGGCAATATGGTCAGCATGAGCCTCAGTGGCTCAGGAGAGTTCGCCTTCAAATGAGGTGAACCGGGCTCGAAATCCAGCGATGTCGATACAAATTCCGCATCCGGCTTGAACCGACCACAGTGCTGACGTGAAATATCCTCTGTGGTTGACGGATCATGGGTTAGAGTCCTCTTGCGGTCAGACTAACCGTGGGAGGATTTCCTCTCCGTGTAACCAAATGTGGGTTAGTTCTATTAAAAAATCCTCCACGAAGGCAAATTTCTCCCAGAACTTGATACAGGAGTCTCTTGGATTGGGTCTTGTTGTTTGGATTTGTTTTCTTTGATGTATTAAGTTCATTTCAGACAGTTAATTCTTATTAATAATTATTTTTATTAATTACTGTTAATAATTTTTATTTACCAAAGATTACTGGCATCTGCCTAAAAATGGAGGCTCTAATATTTTTTTTAAAAAATATTAAAATCCTTCATTTCTAATTTTTTTATTTTATTTATTTAAATTAAATTATAAAGATCACAGTTCGAAAAAATAATTCTTTTGTCGAAGTGACTTAAAAAGTAGTTCTTCTCATTATTAATAAATTATTTTTCCTAATTATTAACTTATTTCATTATTATTGTCAAATATTAGCTTATTTTTCCAAAAAAATTGAAAAAAGAATTAGATTTTATATAAAAAAAAATCAATTTTCACTTTAGTGATTTCAACAGAAGTAAGAACATATGAAATAAGTTTTTGGATAAAAAATATTCAAAGGCTGCATTAATAAGTCATATTTTCAAAGAAATTTTTTTTCTCTTAAATTAATTACTGGCTTATTATTTTTCGCACTTAAATTCTTCATTGTAATATTTTTTCTGAAATTCTCTCTTTTTTTCGATTAAAAATCAAATCAGATCAATACTTTTTCTTAAAGCTCGGATTTCTTTTGAGATTTTGTTGATGACACGTTGATGCTAACACTCAAATAAGTTATAATAAGTTATAACATTTTAAAAACCTTATTAATTTCATTACAGTGAAATGGAAAATACTGTAGCGAATTATCATCCTAACACATTTGGCATAGAAATTGATTATTTTAACCATTTTACTTTTTGACCTCATTAATAATTCAATCCTCTTACATTTTAAACTCATTAAAAATTAACCACGAAAAAACCTTTTTTTAATATTTATTGCGATTTGTAATAAATAATGTACTAATTTATGCTAAAATATTGTATTTTAATACTTTAATATTTAAATTATTTTACAATTGAAAATATTAATATTTAAACCATTTTACCCTTTGTAAACAGTATTTTAACTTTTAACTCTCTTGAAAAGATTAATATTTAAACCATTTTACACTTGAAAACATTAATATTTAAACTATTTTACAATAGAAAACAATAATATTTAAACAATTTTACACTTGAAAACATTAAGATTTAAACCTTTTTTTATTTAAACACATTAATACTTTAACTGACTAATATTTTATATTTTAACATATTAATATTTTAACCATTTTGGCATATTAACCCTCTTGTGTAGTGTTCTTTTAGAAGGACGATTCCTTTTTTCGAAAAAAGGGGTAATATATTTAACTATTTTACATATTAAATAGTAATATTTTTACCTCTTAACATTTTAGATTTTAGCATATTATATTAAAAAATAGAAACATGTCTTTAAAAAGAACGGTTTCTATTTTTTTTTAAAAGAAAAAGTGAAAGCAGAAATTATTAATTATTAGAGCTTATTTTACAGAAAAAAAGATAGTTCTGTTCTAACTGTCATAATATGTTAATAATATAAAGATTTATAGTTGGAACTGGTGTCAAAACAAGGTATATTTTAAAGACTGATATGATGAATAACAGAACGAAATATTCACTTCATATAAACAATTACGCATTGCCACTCATTTCATATTTGGAACACTTTTCATCGGTGACATAAATAGGTAAATATTTTACATTTTAACTTAATCAACATTTCAAAAGATGCATATTTCAGGGAAGATTTCCGTATCGTGATCTTAGACATAATAATCGCCAAGACTTTGGCAACTTAAATGCAGTGACTTCGCGAAAAACTAAGAATGAAAAAAATCTCTGAGTGCTATTATTATTATTTTTTTTAATTGCAAGTTTAAAATCCATTTGGCGCCCTATAGGTTGTAGTTGGGGCAACAGATCACGATGCGGAGATATCCCCACAATTTACATATCAACGTATTATCAGGTCTGCCAACTGCTACGCTTTTTGCTAAAATATTTTATTGAGTGGTAGATTGAATTAAAGCTCACAGAATATTTGGTACTTATGCCGAAATTTTAAGAGTCTCGCCACGAGAGGGTTGGATTTGTTGTTGTTGTAGTTCATTTGCGTCGCACTAGAGCTTCACAATGGGCCATTGGCGACGGTCTGAGAAACATCCCTGAGGATGATCCGAATGCATGCCATCGCAATTTTGATCCTCTGCAGAGGCGATGGCACCCCCGCTTCGGTATCCCGACGACCTACACGCGAAGTCGAGCACTTTACGGTAGAACAGTTAAATAAGGACCAATACCGCACACCCTCGGTATCTACACAGACTGATCCATACCTGCCAACTCTTCCGGATTTTCCGGAAGATTTCTTTTTCTTATTTAAAGTGGTAGCAATACGCGGGTTATTCCAATTAACTTTTTGAATTATAATGATAATTACAAATGAGTTTGACCACCACTACATATAAATAATTACAATAAATATATCAAAGCATAATAATCCTACCTCAAGCGAATTTCAACGGGATCAAAACATAAATTTATTTTTGAGTCAGATTGTTTTTCGTTTATAGTTTTACAACCACTCTGTTGTTGTTGTTGTTGTTGTTAATTTACGTCGCACTAGAGCTGCACAATGGGCTATTGGCGACGGTCTGGGAAACATCCCGGAGGACGATCCGAAGACACGCCATCACAATTTTGATCCTCTGCGGAGGGGATGGCACCCCCGCTTCGGTAGCCCGACGACCTGCGCGCGAAGTCGAGCACTTTACGGTAGCACAGTTTAACGAGGACCGATACCGCACACCCTCGGTCCCTACGCAGACTGATCCAAGTGGTCACCCACCCGCACACTGACCGCAGCCAGTGATGCTTGACTTCGGTGATCTGCTGGGAACCGTGTCTTAACGATCAGTCCACTGTGGGACTACAACCACTCTGAAAATCCATTCTCGGAAAGAGTGAAAGTTGGCAGGTATGCTGATCCAAGTGGTCACCCACCAGCACACTGACCGCAACCAGTGATGCTTGACTTCGGTGACAAGAGGGTTGGAATAAAGTGGCATTTTATATAGGCTTTCGAATCCTTTACAAGTAGTGGTATGAAAGATTACTCCAAATCAAATTTATAAGAGAAAGAATTATGCATTAACTTAGCTACCACTGGAAGAAATTTTTTCAAAAAGCGTAGAAAGTTGACAAGGCCTGCATGATAAGCAATTAAAAGTACTCACTTTTTCAAGGAACGTGATGAAGTTGAGTCAATACTTTAAGTTCTAGAACGTTTCCACTATTTCCTTGTCTGCTACCTTTAACAGTGCTAAGATTGTTGAAAAAGAATCTAATTCTGAACGCCAGGTCCAGGCTAAGGCTCTCCGCTTTTCGCATAAGGCCACGCAACGGGCTTCAAAGTGAAAATATTTTGGGAATCCAAACCGGCAGCTAGAACGAAAACTCCAAACGATTTCAAATTCAGTTTCGAAGAGCTGTAGTTAATCGGTGCAAATTTCGTTCGAACTATTCCTTCTGGATGCAAAGTAACAGAATGATCTGTTTAGAATTTTTAAAGAACATATTAGATTATGTCGAGCAGTTTAAGCTCGAGATAAGCACCTCCTTTTATATCCTTTGAAATCGGCCTTCGATTGTGATAGGCTGTTTTCTTTTGACTAAAAGCGGCATAGATGATAAACTGATAAGAGGCTTTTCCCAAATTGCATCAAGATCGCCGGATGGTGGGGCAAAGATCGCGACAGACATATCTTTCGAATATTTTTGAAAGGGTCATCTTTAGATTTTGCCTTAATTTTACGTGACCTTTAGCATGCGTAATTAAATTCTGATAAGATGTCTAAGTATAGGACATAGTATAATTCTAGAACATTTGAACGTAATCATGTTTAATTTTAGAATTTACCTTACACCAAGTAATTTCTGTTCTCAACGTCTTCGTAAAATTATGCAACTGATAGGCTTTAAAGTTAGAAACTATCAAAGTTCAGAACAGCAAAAGATGAATTGTTAAATATTATTTCAAGTAAAAATATTTTTCGAATAGAAACTAAGTTAATTTATTTAAACCTTAGACTCTGAATTTTCATTAAACATATTTTTTATACTTTCTTCATTATTTTGTATTAATTTAGGTCAAAATAAAAGAAAAATACTATATTTAGAATTTTAATAATTTATATTTATGAAATAGGGACAGATAGGAATAGATAGGACACATATGTCCATTGCCAATTATGGGCTGATGTCTCACTTAAAAACACCATTTTTTTTTCAAATTTACGCTTAGTAGCAGTTATTTAGATATAAGAGAAACGGTTAGATCTCATTGAAATTCTTTTAATTTACAAAATGAATTATTGATAAATTTTTGAACATGAATGGAAATTTTTGTTTCTAACTACTTTTTTTAGGTTTTATATTTTTGAAGAAATCTAATTCTAAAAACCTAATAGATTGTTTTAGTAAATATTAGACTGTTTTTTATAATTAAACATTTTTATAATTTATAATTAAAAAAAAAAAACAAAATATTTTTTTGCTTGTAATCAGAGAGTCAGAAAAAAAACATAAAAAAGACACCGGTGTCTAATCTGTTGAAAGGGGTTAAGAGTGTGGCAAATTTGTATAATATTATGGATTAAGGTACTGATACTACAGTTTAACTTTTATAGTATCAGCTACAGATATAAACGATGCTTTACAAATGATAGTACTACTATATTCTTAAACAGTGTTAATCAGTCTACATCTATATAAGTAATAAATGAACACGAAATGCAAAATAATTACCAAAGAGGGACTTGGATCTAATCGAAATTCATAATTGAATTTTTTTTTAATTTACAAGATCAATTATTGATACATTTTTGAAAATGAATGAAAAAAAATTTCTTTTCAAACTGTTTTTTTTTTTTTTGGTTTTTATATTTTAGTACAAATATAATTCCGATAATTTATCAGATTTTTTTAGTAACTATTAGACTCTTTTTCATAATTAAAAAATACCAAAATACATTTTTACTAGCATCAGAAAAAAGCGTATATAAAAGGGACACTTTTGTTTCTTTTGCGCTGAAGGTTTAAAATGTTCCTTTGTTGTTTTATTTTACTGACTGTACAAGTATAAATGACAAAACGGAAAAAATATTATTCATAATCAAAATAATTCTGTGACAAAGAGAATATTTCACAATAGATATAACTTAAAAGTTATAATGCTTAATGTTCACAATAGATATAACTTAAGAGCTATAAAGAGCTATAATTGTTTAAATATCAAACCCAAAAAATGGTAATGATAAAAAATTTATGCATATAAGAAAAAAAATACCGATAAAGAATGTTTAAATATCGTTTTTTATATATATATATAAATACAGCTAATTATTATTGTCTAAAAGTTATAATTGAAATAATTTTGCGTAATTTTAAATTAGTTAAAAATTTTACAAACAACAAGAACAATAAATGTGTCCTAATTGTAATCTTCTTGAAAATATCTAAAAAGTAGCACCATAAAAATGCGCTATTTTATATTCAGTTCATTCGGGAAATTTGAACAATTCTGTAATTTACGAACTCGAAATAGTTGATAATATTCTAATATCTCCTTAAAGAGCGGGACAAATAATTGAAAAGCATATCGGAAGAGGCTGCACAATGGGCTATTGGCGACGGTCTGGGGAATATCCCTGAGGATGCCATCGCAATTTTGATTCTCTGCAGAGGGGATGGCTCTCCTGCTTTAGTAGCCTGAAGACCTGCGCGCGAAGTTATACTTTGGAAACACTTATATTTCTAGACTTTAAAATTTTGATTTTGTTGACTGCAAAATCTACGAAAAACACGCTCTAATTTGTTCAGTTGTAATTACTGTTAAAAAAAATGTATACCACACTTAAACTATATTAAGCTCTTTTTTTTTTTGTAATATTTGAAAAACAAACTTAAAATATATTTGAAAACTTAAATAGGTACAAGTAAGAATAGGGTTTTAACTTGACACACACACACACAAGAATTTTCAAGACTGGGTTTTTTTTTCGTGAGAAGTTATATATTGCTTTATATACAAAATGTTCTTAAGCATTTGACATTGTTAAGGCAAATTAAGTAATTTTTCCTGTGTATTTTTTCATGCTGAATTTAACAAGAGCAAACATGAGTCAATAGGACTCACAGTTCAGGAGTCTCAAGAATTTTTACGCATAAATAGTACAATATCTGATTTGAACTTATTTACACTTTACTTCCAAACTCTTTATCAAATAAACTCGAATTTAGTTTTATTGGACCCGGTGTAAGAAAAAAAAATTCTCTAGAAAAAAATACCATACTTGTCTAGACAGTCACTAAATAGATGTGTTAAAAGTATAACTAAGCTTAAGTTGAAATAATACATTTTCTATATCGAAACGATAAACTTTCAACTTTTTAACTATTAGTTCCAACTTGTCTTCAGTTTCCTTCGATTTAGCGTGAAAAATGCATAGGATATTATACTCCGTCTAGATAGCAATCCCAACTAGGAAAGTTAAAGAATGCACATTTTGTATGAGAAATAATTGTAATTTTTTTAATACTACCCTCATGCTTCTAAGAACCTTCATGCTGCATTTAGAAAAAGGGCCACTACCCTCATGCTGTTGAAGAACCTTCACGTTGCAGAAAAAGAGTAGCTACATTTATGCTGCTGGAGAGCCTCCCTGCTGCATTTAGAAAAAGAGTCGCTACATTTATGCTGCTGGAGAACCTCCCTGCTGCATTTAGTTGTTGTTGTTCATTTACGTCGCACTAGAGCTGCACAATGGGCTATTGGCGATGGTCTGGGAAACATCCCTGAGGATGATCCGAAGACATGCCATCACAATTTTTGATCCTCTGCGGAGGGGATGGCACCCCCTCTTCGGTAGCCCGACGACCTGCACGCGAACCAGCTGCATTTAGAAAAAAGGTTAAAGCTATGGATAGGATTAAACTGCGTATTTTCTTATCATCCATTTAATTTGAAATTTATTCTACCTAAATTAAATGCTTAAAGTTAAATTCTTTTATTGACTATTGATTGTTACACATGCACACGCAGGCTTGTGTGCTCATTACAAAATACGGCTATTAAGCTCCGTTCAAACTGTGTAACTAATAGCAGAAGTTAGAAAAGGGCATCCAGGGTTTAGGCGAGATTTGAACCTGCAGCTTCCTCATTTAAATGTTTGAATAAACAGCGAGACCACTCGGCCAAAGCGGCCCCAGCTTATTGTTTTATTGCAATTACATTGTCCTGCAGTAGACTGATCGTTAAGACACGGTTCCCAGCAGATCACCGAAGTCAAGCATCACTGGTAGCTGCCAGTGTGCGGGTGGGTGACCACTTGGATTAGTCTGAGTAGGGACCGAGGGTGTGCGGTATTAGTCTAGGTTGAACTGTTCTACCATAAAGTGCTCGACTTCGTGTGCAGGTCGTCGGGCTATCGAAGTGGGGGTGCCATCCCTTCTGTTGAGGTTCAAAATTCTGACGGCATGTCTTCTTATCATCCTCAGGGATGTTTCCCAGACCGTCGCCAATAGCTCATTGTGCACCTCTAGTGTGACGTAAATAAACTACAACAACAACAAACCAATTACATACATTAGCAGGCTTGTGTGCTCGATTTAGGCTTATAAACCTTTGCAAGCAGAAGGACTCTAGAAAAATTCAGCGACGGACATCACGAGGAATACGTCCAGGGTTACGGCGGGATTCGAACCCGCTACCTCCATGGTTTGAACAGTGTTTGGCGGGCGATACCTCTCGGCCATGGAGGTCTCAGCTTAATAGTTATGTATTGCAAGCTTTGTTGGATAGAAATAAACAGCCGGAAATCGAAACAATACAAAAGCATTGGAAGAATTGAAATAAAGATGGTATAAGTGTGTTTACTAGAAATTTGAGCCTGCTATCCTTTGTAAAAGATTGAAATAAATTTATCACTTAAGTACACATGACAAATTAAACCTAAAAGTTGAAAATATTTGTTGTGCTCTTATTTCATCGTGTTTCTTAAAACACTCAATTACGATTTGAGAATAATACAAATGAAAATAATTTTTTTTCTGTTCTCTTAGTATTTATCTTGGAAAAAGCTTAGAAGTTGTTTATTGTGTTAAAAGTTAAAACTTATTTAAAAAGAAATATGTTTGAACAAGGAATACAAACAATACTGATAAAATTCAAAGTTCGTTGTGAAAATAGCCAGCAAGATTGGTAAATGAACAAGAAAATATAACAGGTATGTTTCAGAAGTTTTTATTCTGAGTATCAAATTAAAAAATTAACTTTTCTATTCATCTGAAATTTAAGTGCGCGTTCATTTTACGAAATGTAATAAATTTTATTGTCATATTTTTGCATCTCAATAATATTTGTTGAAAATGTATGAATTTGCAGTTTATTTTTCAACTGGATTGTATAAGAGGATTTAAAAAAATTTATGTATCCTAATTCAACAAATTTTTAATTAGATTTTATAAATATATTTTTTTTCTCTTAAAATTATCTTTAAGAGATTTCTGATGCCCGCAATCTGTTCTAAAGATATGAATGAATGAATAAATAAATACA